ATATATATATATAAGAGAGAGAGAGTGAGTGAGAGAGAGAGAAATTGTTTTAGGCAAAAATCTCAATCTTCAACTTTGGATTTTTTAAAGATAATATATTGCTGTTTTCGAAAATACGTCAGAAATAAGACTAGTATCGCTTTTTTACTGTCCTTTGCTACACACGAGGAGAAAATGTACGGAAAAAATTTTAAGCCACTACTGATAAAATCAAATGCTTTTAAAAATTAAAAAATGTCTACATTTCACCCAAAATTACGCGAATATTTCTCAAGTTTTTGAAATCTTGTACGTATTAAAACGGACATACGTAAACTTGTACGTGTACAAATGTTCACTTCTGCAATTATCGGAAAATCAGGGATTACAAATGAGACCTGCGCTATTTTCATAACTTACGTCCATTACGCTTTTCGAGGACAAAGTATAATGAGAAGTTGGAGTTATTTTTGAGAAATATTTGAAAATGATATCATATAAAGTACCACCATAAAGTATAAAGTATACCAGTATAAAGTACCAAAGTACCAAGTTTCATATAAAGTACCACCAAAATATATTTACTACGTTTCAAACTCTGAGGACCTCCAACGTCGTTAAATTGATGGAGAAATAACAATTTTATTGAAAATATCCCGAACGGTTTTGGTGCCAGCTTTGACTACAGACAGAGAGATGTTTTGCCCATTCTATTTTGCGTTATCAAGGAACCACAAAACATGTATTCTAGCTAAAAACGTGTTAGAGGAAGTAGCTTACAACATATACGAACAAGATGTACCCATTTTTTCCTTACCAGTGCTCGGCAATAAGTGTTCTTGTTGGGTTTTTTTGCCGAAAGTTTGCTATTTTCTGGCGCACGATTACCATAATTTCTCTTCTTACGAAGCAAGTGAGAAAAAGTAACAAATTCTAAGTAAATACATGAGTGAACGTAAGATCGTGAACCTATTTGCTGACAGAACGCTGTGAATGAAAGTTTACTGAAAAGCGAGATCCGTGGGAACTAGTTCAATATCTTTTTAGTGCAGCGGCCAGGAATCCAAAATATACTATCAAGAGCTTTGCGGATCGAAAGCCAAGGAAACAATTTTGTAAATTGTCTAAGAGTATGTTGGAATACCCAATGATTCGTTTTCTTATGGGACAAAATTTAAGTCCCAATTAAATATAAAACTCGCTGTAACTCCCATTATTTCATTATAAGGAATTGTAGAACTTAATTCATTTTTTAAAATTAAATTTAAGATTTACCCTTATAAAGTTTCTTTTCTACTTTTTTTTTCTTTATTATTAGTATTCTATATTAGTAGATTCCTAACCTGGATTCTCTAATGGACCAGAAGTGATATTAGGGAGATATTGAAGGAGCCACAAGGAACCATTTTTGGTGCTATTTGCGATTACTACTTTTAGTTGGCACTTCCCTTTAAGGAATTTCTCTGGTATTTGGTGTAGTCGTTTAGGCAGAATACTTCTCGGAATGCGACACGCTTTTACAATTTTCTGCCACGGGAAAAAGAAACTCTGTCTTATCTCGTAAGGGTTGACCAACCATATTGGTCGTACTTGTATGATACATTCATGTAATTGTTTTTACCAAATAATTGTGTACTATGATATGTTCATCGTAATAAATTAGTATTTTTTTGTTTATTCTACTAATTGAGAGTGTATTTAATTGAAGCTGTCTGTATCATTTCAATTGAGCCCTTTCAGTACGTATTTTTTCCCTTTAGGGATTAGAATCACCAATTTTGTACACCGCTAGTACACATAGCGATCATGGATATGCGGATGTGGAGATACATGGATGCAGGCGTGCGCACTTGGCATACTTTCAGCACTAACGTGCAAAGGCGATTGGGTACCTTCTTCCCCCACGCACTGAAAGTGCGGAATCAAATTGCGCGAAACAACCGCTGAACAAAACTATCGCTTTGTACCGTCAGATTTCGTTATAATAAGACCATATTTTACACCATCCTGATCGGTTTTTAATGGTTAAGGCTTGTGGAGATCAAAAACCTATCTCAAAACATTTAGGTTGCATTCATCCACTGTCTGTAGTGAACACTAAAGGTCGGTAATGATAAATGCTGTAGTCGCGTCAGTGTAATAAATCAGTCGGAGTAGTGAGCGTTCTTCGTCGTAACCATATGTAAGATCCAACGTCTAACGCCTTTTGTTTGAGCCTTATTAATCAAATTACTTCAACTATAATTACAGGTCAGACCGTCAGAAATCCAGTGCACTCGCTGCTCATGAATGACACTAACAGTCTCCCGAGTCTACCACAGCGCTTCGAGTCTTGTAAATGCGCGTAAAGTTGCGTTAATACACAGAATACGACGAAATCACCAAAATTACAAAATTAGTGATGGTACAGAATGCCACACTTTCCCATATTATTTTTCTTTTTCCTATGATTTCGGCTAACTACTAGAACTTTCTACATACTTTTGCATGCTGCCATCTATCCGCCTAAAGCACATTTTTTGAAATTTTCTTAATTTTTCCTAATAGTAGAACGTGAATATTATTTTAACAGCATTAAAGAACAGAAAGTTCTCATCCCAAATTTCAATTTTCTTTGAAGAATTTGGAGAAATTTATAAGAAGATTGCGTTTAAGGGCTACTATAAATTCGAAATTTGATGTCTTTTTTTCACAGAAAATTTTTGAGTTATCGAAAAACTTCATTAGAAGTCATTTGAAACACTTTAACTCAAAAATACAAGAATGTTTACAAATTGCTAAAAATGTTCATATTAATGGCGAGAGAGATCTATTAAAAAATAGTTTTGTGTATTTTTTGAAAAAAAAACAAATTAACTTTACGTCATATTAAATAGTGCAATTAGCAATATCCGTTCGTAAAGTTTGAAGAAAAATTTGGATTCATTTTTGATAAAATGGCGTTTACGCGTTTCTGAAAATTCGGAATTTCTATCTTGGTATCATAGAAAATTTTTTGAGAAACTTCATCGTACATTATTTAACTCACATGTACTCATCAAAATAATAATGAACAAATAGTGATAGTGAACAAATTGCCGCTTTGTAAATATTAACGACGTGAGGGACAATGTCTGAATTTAAATGTTTATACATTTTGAAAAACAAAAGAAAAGATATAGCGTTTATGTCATTCCATAGAGTATTTTTAATATCTCTACCATAAGTTTAAAAACGTTTTGAGCTGTTTTTGCCAAAATCTTGTTTCCATTATTTTTTTAAATTGCACTTATTTAACGCAATATTGTGCGAAAACTACTCAAATTTTCAAAAAAATGTACATAACCTTAATGAAAGAACTAATTATGCACAAAAAGTTTCATTTGAAGAAAAAAATTGTAGTTGTAGGAAGACACCGAAAGAAATTCAAAATTTTGCAATTTTCGAAAATTCAGAGTTAACCGTGAAAATCGGACCTATGTCACATTTATAAGTTTATTTTAGTCTAATATTACAAGGAATTTAAAGAAACATTTTGAAACGGTTTTGAGAAAATTTTGAAAATGTCCGGAAGTGTTCATGTAAAGTAGCCCGAAATTTTCAAGAAAGTTTTTCAAAATCGCTGCACCTCTGGCCGAGCCAAATCGACCGGGGAATATTCATCTTGGGGGAAAAAACCCTACGTATAGTTTAGGCGCTAGTGGACGGACAGACAGATAGTCAGACGGACAGACGTTTTTGGTATCAGGGGACCTTAAAACGTGTATTTCCGTTGAAATCTCAAAATCGATTTTCCGCTGCATTACATAACTTTCTCTGTGCTGTGTACAGAAAAACACTTTTTACACTAATGTATGCATCCGAAATTAAACTGGTAAATGGCTTATTTATTACTAATATTATGATCATGCTGATGCGTTTCGGTACCACCTGAAATGATTCATCCTGTGTATTGTACCGACCCCCTACGCTGCCCGGATATGTTACTGCCGTGCAAGGGACACTATAAACATAAATCATTCCTGCTCCTGCCAAATTGATTATTATGATAAATAAAAACTCGCGCAGCGCAAGCTACGCCAGTCAGCTAGTTGAAATTAAAATTTTAGGATTAAAATTAAATTATATTAGTTTAGTGTAAAATACGTTTTTGGGGGACAAAATAGGTTTGGGGGTTATTTGGGGATTTGGACTTCACTTTTAACTGCGAGAAGGTATTTTTAAAAAACTTTTTCCACGCTTGTTTTTTCTGCCAAAAACTGGCATTTTTTCCTGCAGAATCTTAATGATTTTTCTATACTACTATATAAGCGGAAAAGAAAATATTCTAAGAAGAATATACGGGTTTGACGCTCATAATTCATGATGAAAAGAGTTTGAACTTGACAGGAACAATTCGTCATTACTGACAATTTTTTTGCCTCGTCGTATTTTGAAATGTCACAAAGAGTCTTAACTTTGTCATCATTGACATAAAAACGGAGTTGATTGCCTATTCAGAATAAACCCAGCTATTTATCAGCTTTTCCACACAATAATGAGCGTGCATCCGTTCTTTTCGAGAACCGGATTCTATCGAGTATCCTCGTCTTTGTAGTTGGCGAATAAATCTGTTAAGAGATTTCAAAACATACAGTGAACATCCGCCAGTTGTAAAATATATACCAGACTGCAATAAAATAAAGATTCCATTCGTGACACACAAACGGCTATATCCAAGTGCAGCAATGTTTCCACCGAAACTTCTTTTAGCTTTCTTGCTGGTGTGCTCATTATCTGCAGTGTACTCTACAATCGATAGTGGAAGCCCAAGCGATCCAAGATGTAATAAATGCAACGGACCAACTGAAGAAAGAGAGGTAAGTCGTCATGAAATCAACTTTTAAAAAAAATAATACTCAGTGAGTGACATAAGAAATTGTTCTACAAGAAGTACCTCTTCCATACAGCAGACAGATGGAGTTCAGAGATACGGTGGGGCATTTTATGGGTGAGATACAAAACATGAACGCTCGAAATGCGTAGCAGTCTTACTAAATGGTTTTTTGCGTTTAATATTGAACAGAACACTACAAATTCTTTCATATCCTACGTCTGCAAGTTTTGAACGATTTACCATATGATTTGAAAGAAAAATATATTTAAAAACATCATTCATGATAATTATAAGTGAAATATTTTTGTAGAGAAATAAATATATAACAGAGCAGGGTTCTATACATTTTGTATACCTACGTACCGTTCTTTTTAGGAAATATTCAAAAAGAAAAGTTTACAAATTATTTCTTCCAAACTGCGATATTGCAGAAAAATTCAAACGTTTCCCTCAACTTTCAAAATTTTACCCTCTTTAATAATTTACATAATTTAGATTCCGCTTACTTCGTAATTACGAATACCAGTACTTTTCAACATTAACAACTAGTAACGGTACTGAATGGCACTGACTTTCTCGTACTAGTTAGTTTTCTTATCTCTTTACTCTGGGCTACTTTTGGATTAATCCCAACCTCTTTTCAGTTGCCTTCTATTAAGCGACCAAAGGACATTGTTCACGTTTTTCCAAATTTTCGATCCGATAAAGGTAAAATGGAAATGTGACTTAAAGAATATTATAAAAGAGAAAAAATGGTCAAAAAAATGGTGCCTCTGTGCAAATGATTGTTGAAAAATGTGAAGCTTCATTGAGATAATATGTGAAAACGCTCCTAAAAGAGACTCGGTTTTTAAAAGACATGTTTACACATTTTCTTAATTTTTCTGTCTCCTAATAGTTGCATTGAATATCTTTAAACAATTGACATAAGAATACAGGACCCTGAATGAAACTTTTCATGAGAATTTGGGAGTCATTTTTGGGAATCACGCGTGGTTGCGTGGTTGTTCCTGCATCAAATCGCAACAGAAGCAGCAGTTGGGAGAAAAAAATCGCAATGAGAGCACAATAGTAAACGGCACAGAACCGTGCACACGACGCACAACCAACAAGTAACGCCCAAATGACGCTCCTGCGATCGGCACTCTTCAATTATCAGTTGCCTCGCGCTGTATGATTTCATTTTTTCTTAATAAGCATCGGCAACTCTGTAGGGTCCTTGTCAGCCGTTTGCTGTCTTCCGTTCCCGGTGAACTCTCTGAATTTTCAAAAATTGCAAAGTTACCATTTATAAACTACAAAATTGAAGATAGAATATTTTGCCTTAAACTAATACTGTCCTAAAATATTAGGTCTTAAAAAGATCGTCTACATTTTGTTTCTGAAAAAGGAGTAGTTTTCGTGGAATACATACTTGAAATGAATGCAATTTATAAAAAACATGTTCTCACAAAACTCTTCAAATATTTCCACGGATAAAAACAAAGAACGCTTCAAAGAATGGCGCACAATTCATTTTATTGTCACTCTCTGAATTTTCGAGAATAGCAAACTTAGAAACAATATGAGAACGTATGTGCTGTTGAAGCACCACTGGTTTAAACTTTTAATACATTTTTGAAGATTTATTTATTTTGGATTAACTCCTCCGTAGAGTTGGTGGTCAGAAGTTAGAATAAACAAAAAATTTTCGAAAAATTAATTTGAAGATAGATGGAAATAATTTTCTCTAACATTTCACTATTTGATTTTCTGTACAATCTAATATCAACGATTAGCAATACTACAATTTATACCTCACAAAGTGTACCCCGCTTGTAATGCTGCAATACTATGTTTAGGGGTTGTCCATTCGAAGTTGGTATTTAGTATGAAGAATTTTTACTTTAAAACGATGATTTACACAGTTTGTAATGTTCATAAGTATTCAGCTGGTTTATAACAATGTGTGTTTCTTTATAATTATTCCATATATATATATATATATATATATATATATATATATATATATGTGTGTGTGTGTGNNNNTATATGTGTGTGTGTGTGTGTGTGTGTGTGTGTGTGTAATGTGTGTATGGAAAAACGAGTAAAAACGAGTATGTATCTCACCTCTATGGTCCTGAGGTAGGTCGCAGAACTCCGGCCGCGGAAGCCTACGCTCTCAAATATTTTTTTGCTAAATACTTTGTCGACAATTTTGATTATCAAGTTTAAAATACTTTTTTATTGTAAAAAATAATTTTTGAAGTCCAAATGATTGTTTATATTGTTTAATTTTAAACAATATCCTTCTCTCCCTCCTATTTTAAAAAGTGGTATTATCTTGATTGAGTTTCTAGTTCAGTGCCTCTTGGCCATAGGAAGAAATTCCGTTGGTGACTGAATCAAGTTCTTCTCCTCCCCTTCTGACTCACCACAGTTGTTTTAAATTAATACATAAGCAAGTAAAGAAAATGAATAGATAAATATCTGTGATTGGTAAGCATTTTTATTTTATTTTTCAGTTCGAAGTGGAAGCACTGGGAGTTTTTGGAGATGGAGTGTTTGAAACTGACATCGTTGCAGATGATAATTTCTACTTGGATGGTACATTTGTACACAAAAAGACGCTATCACCAGAGCTACCGGTATGTTTTTCATTAAATGGAAATAGTATAGTTTGCAGTAGGTTTGTAATAGTATAAATACATTCTGCAATATCACATCTTGAGATCCAGAGGATTGAAAATATATTTCTTCACGATCAAAAAAGATGTCTTAATGTACAGAATAGTAGAATTCTTTCGGCATTTTCAGAACCTTCAGAATTACACTGAATCGTGTTCATACATCTGTTTCATGTATTTGATTCACACATAATGACAATAACCAAATTCCGGATTCAATGTCACCCCCTGAGTCATCTCCATCACAATACTAAGGAATACAGTTGAAATGTATGCTTATCAATAATAAAAGATAAAATTATCTCAAGTGGCTTTAGTTAAGAACATTTCTGTAACTTTTACTGCTACAGTGCTAACTTATTTACGAGAAACTCAACGTTCAATTAGCATACCACTTTTATAATAAATTCGAGGCCTAAATTGAAAGTTTTCAATTGTTTCTTTTTTTTATTGATTTACTACCAAACTTCGATTTTGATGCAGAAGCAGCCACTTGAAACATGCAAAATTTTGGAAATGGTGAGATACTTGACTCATTAATTGGCCACTTCTACCCCCAAGATGTGTTTAAGGAACTAAGTCTACAAACGGATCAGTTCAAATTACATTATTGCAATTCCAAATTTAAGAAAAGGTATGAACTTATCATTTATGTGTAAATGGGTCGCCAGGTCTGCTTCCAAAAAATAGCTTATAAGTACGGAGAATAGATTTTTTTAAATTTCGAATCATATTAAATATTTTCGTACAAACAGTTTATTAAAATAATACAAACATGTATTAAAATAATCACTTATTAACGTTTCTCAAAATCCAAAATAACAACATAATCCTATAGCCCTAACTTGAGTTACCAGTAACCCCACGGAAAAATTAAACATTAATTATTAACAAATTAAGCAGTTAGCTGCATTGAGGTGATCTGTAGTCTTACTTGTTGATGTCTATTTTTATCTGAGCAGTTCATTTCGACAGTTAATTGTTGTCATTTCCTGGTAGGCGTAAAGCGGTGTGAGAGTGTGATTCTGGGGTGGTGTCTAACCTCTTGTTTTTTTGAAAGGTGTGTAATTTTTTGTGATAGAGGTGTGAATAATTAGTGTCCACGATCAGCGAAAATGTAGATAACGCTAGTGCAGGTCCATCAAAAGGCATGGAAACATCTGTTAATTATTTAGACCAGGATTTTGATAATATTTTATGGAAATGGTGGGATGATGATTATGTTGATTCAGATTGCGACGGAACTGATGACAAAGACTACGTTAATGAAGAATCTGAATATGAAGATAAATTATCAGATGCGGGAGAAGAAAGTGAAGAACACATAGAAGATAATACACATTGTGTATGGAAAGAAAGAAACGGTTACATCTGGTCGAAAAAAGAGCCACCTTCCTCTCGTATACCGTAAAGAAAATACATGTTTGCGTATTCCAGGCTCAAAGGGAGCAACAAAAAGAGTTATTAATGAAAACGAAGCTTGAAATATCTTTTTAACTGAAAACATCATTGATACAATTATTAATGTTACTAAAAAAGAAATAGAGAAGAGGAGTTCGCGATACAAAGATTGCAGACATGTGGGATCAAAAAATATCAGAGAAATATGTGCACTCATCGGTCTGAAGTACATTGCCACAAGAAAAGAAGGACATTTGACAGTATGTGAAATGTGGGAAACCTTCGGACCAGAAATATACAGATACATCCGGAGCACGTTTAGAGTTTCTAATTACATGTATAATATTTGATGTCAGGGAAGCCAAAAATCCAGAACACAAATTCGCCCCGGTAAGAGATATTTGGATACAACTCATTTCGAATGTTAGCATTATGTATACCCCTCATGAATATTGATATGAGTATATTGACATGGTAGGTGAACAACTCCTTGGATTTAAAGGTAATTGCCCTTTTAGAGTATGTATTCCTTCGAAGACTTACCGCTATGGCATACAAATTACGAGTCATTGTGATTTCCGTACATTTACAAGGTAGATGCTCTTCCTTACATTGGCAAGTCATGCCGACTAAGACACTAAGTCTTGTTATTCATGGTACACATAGAAATATAACGTCTGTTCCACTAGTTGATGAAATGTTAAACTAGTACAAACTATTGTTTGAACTGTTCGGGAAAATTTTAAGGAAATTCCATAGTGCTTTCTGCAGAATAGGAACAAACAATGTCAGCGCAGTTCTGTTTTTGCAGCAAAAAATTAGTACCTTTCACGCCCAGAAAATCAAAATCGGAAGTGTTTTTATTAACTACGCATTGTGGCAAAAAATTGAAAAAAGAACAATGGTAAACCTGACATACAATTTTTTATAGCATAAAAACTCGGCAGGACAGGAAACCTCCCTGTTAATCTTCGAAATGCCATCGACAGACTATTGGATACACAAAAAAGAACTATTGAGGAAAAACAACAATTTTCAAACAAATTAGGAAAGGAAACTATGTGTACCATATGTGATAGAAAATCAGACGACGAAAAACTTCTAGCTTTGCGGCACACCTGTTTTTTCAGAATATCCCATGAAGTTTGTTTCAACTATTCGTAAAGTGATTTTAGTAATCATCTTCATAGGTAAGGTTGTAATTAAATCAAAATAAGAATGTAATTTTTAAAACTTATGATAATAAAAATGTGTTTCCAAAAATGTAGATTTATACTTGACAGTTCCCTTGCCTCAGTCATGGAGATAAAACATGGACTTCTGAATAACCCCATGTTAGTAATAAATGTGAATAAAATCATATAAAGATACAAGGGTTAATTATAATAATATCTAAAATTTAAAACATACCTATCCAAATAAAAAAGTATAATATAAAAAAATAGGTAAATGCAAGTTAAGAAAAATAGTAAGTAAATAATTTAATATACTTTCATTAAAAGTATATATGAAAATAGTTTCTGCCGCACAACTGTTTCTATACAATTAGAGACTATACCGAGCATCCAAAAGGAAAGTTATATTAATTTTAACAATGACATTTAAAGTATTATATATCATTTGGATTGTATTATTGTAAAGAACCTGTAACAATTATTGTACTTGAGCTTTTCGGTCATTGATGCTCATCTCGATCAGGTTATCGTCCAGTTTCCCTGATCCTCGAGCAAATGCTGAGATGATCCCTTATTTTGCTTCTGAACATAAATGTAACTTCCAATTAACTTCTCTCCATAGCACGTCACACACAGTTTTTAACTGTTTTGACGTAAATAAATAAAAAAATAATAAATAAATAGTCTTGTGGAACAATTATGATTAATATTTTTTTAGAGAAACAAGTTCAATAGATATTAGATCTTTGTCTTGTTCGAACTTTTGAAAAAAAGACAAAACGCGATTCCCCTATCTTTATTCTCATAAACTGCATAGCTTTAGATTACGTACCATTTCATCAAAAAGTTTTGAATAAAAAAACTGTACACAATTTTTGCAAAACGAATATTGAATATAATGTGAACAAAGCGGACTATCTACTCAAATAGTGGCCATCTCTTAACCAGATATGAAAAGAGGAAAGAAAATATAGTATTTTCGTTACATATCTAGCCACTAAAGGATATTTGCTCCTCGTTCTGCAAGTAAAAAGTTTCCTATTTTCAAAATAACTATACTAACAATATACTTATATATCAAAATAAATAAATTTACAAAATGTACGTAATGTATGTGGAGATACCTGCCTGTCTGCCAACAATTATCGCAAATCGCCAAGTCCTTTTGGATACAGCGTTTTTATGACGAGTGTACACACATATTTATTACTATCAGGTAATTAGTATATTGCACACTGAGCATTAAAATATTCTAATTAATAAAAATTCATTTTTTTGCAGGTTCTTCTTCAATTGGTCAGAGATTCAGACAAGTCCATGATGGGAACGTTTTCCGACACTCTTCAAGGAGTTATTGACAAAAATCCAGGAGTAATATCTAACCTCAACTGTTTTCTCAACCGAGCAATTCGTTTGCCGATGAATCCAGAGAAGGTACAGTCTTGACATTCATCAGTTTGCAGATGAATCCAGAGTTGAGTCTTTACAGTCCGAGTGCCAGCGACACAAAATTTGAAGTGATTCGCGAACAGCTAACTTATTGTTTTTAGTTACTTTTAAAACTAAGGTATAAACGAGAGCTAGGGGCTGGAATCCCGGCAATAATTCTTATCAAAAGAGAGTTTTGAACGTATGAAAAGAACAGGCTTATCATGTTCAATTACCTTGTCGCTGATGGGACATATAAACAAACGCGTTGTTGCGTAATCCCGGCAAACTTCCAATAACAATTTTGATTTACAATCCCTAAAAATACCTCTACTGAAATGAATTAAAAAGCATTTAATAGTAAATATTGCAAGCTTTAAGAAAAGTTTGTGGAATTTTAATGTTTCCTTAATATTTTCGAAAAATTTGCAAACCTCTCAAAGAGTGCCCACTTCAATATTTTTATAAGGTGTGAAAATAAGTAGAGTAATACCACAGTATCACACATTGGCTCAGCTCAGCCCGCTTTTTGGGTAGTTATGCGCGTGAATACAGATAGCGATCCTGGTGGAGGGAAAGTTAAACTACAGATAGCTGATCCTGAAGTATACGGATTTATTTGTGATATTGCGTTTATTACTAGTTGGTTAAAATTTTAAAAAGAATTCGTGTTGTTTCTTGACCTTGCAGTTTTATATCCCTCTAATCAAGTCAATTCATTAAATAAGGAAAAAAATTAAATAGAACCAACATTTTAACCTTACTTTTTACATGTATCAGGACTTTTTTGCGCCAATTGAATTCTTATACTTTTCCAGTTTACACATTAATAACAAAAAGAGTGTCGAAAAGGGCTCACTGTTCTGCAATAAAATGCAGCGATATTAAAGGAAAGAACTATGAGTAATGTATTTTTTACTTTTCCAAAAGACCCAGAATGAAAAGATGGATAGTTGTTCAAAAGCCCAGCAGAAATATTATTAACTCCTAGATACTTTTTTTCCCACTTAAATTACTTACAATTCTAGATATTTTCACGAAAAATAAATAAATACTTGTTGCTCATGTCTCCACTATTCAGTTTCAATGGACAAAACTGAATAGATTTAAATCATTTCTTTCCTTAAAAATGGTTCAAAACCTTTACTTCACATGTGTTTTAGGCATATGCATTTGGAAATAAAATGTATACAAAATATTCCCTTTTTGTAAAACATACTTTCTCGCAATATTTGTATCTTTAGTAATAGTTGTAGCACTATACAAAGACAATCAAGAATAATTTCACATTTATATTGAACATCCAAGTAGTCGTTTTGTGGCTTCCATCTAGCAGACAACTGATGATGATGGCTAAGCCATCGAAAGTTGCTATTACATTAAATAATATTGTTGGCAATGACAATGTCTTTAATTATTTTTTGAACATCCAAAATTAAAGTGTTATGATCAAAACAAGCCAACTTAATAAAATAGTTTTTTTTATTCAAGTTTGCACAATATACAGAGAATATCATAAACAAGTGTCGTCACAAAAACTGCCAGAGATATGCCAAGTATTATTATATTACATGTATACATGTCTTAATATTTATTTTTGTTGTTGACATTAGAATGCTTCAGAGGCAGCTGCAAACGAGCCTTTGAAATGTTGGAGATGTTGTTGGAGGAAACAGCAGTTTCTATGTACGAAAAATATGTATCGATTTACGGAATGATTGGGAAGGAGAATATAAACGGAAGTATATAAACGAATGTCTTGTTTCATCATTATATGATAAGTATAAAGGAAAGTATATTTCACAAACTGGGAGCAGAGCGTGGTTAGTTTAAATGAAATAAAGAAGAAACCACGATTTAAATAATGTCCACAACATATGGAAAAATACAAGCTTTGGAAAATACCAACTACAACTTGTGGAGTATGTAAGTAAGTGCACTCATTAGATCAAAGCACTTATATGATGAGGTTTTAATTAGAAATGAACCGAATGTAAAGGAACGAGATAATGCGAGTGAGAAAATATAGCAAGACTGGACGTCGAAAATTGATGAAGTAATGGAAATAATAATACTATCGTTATCTAATGAACAACTTCTGGCGGTTAGGGGATTAAAGAACAGGAAGGTATTATGCAATACACAGAAAATAAGACATGAAGGATCACAAAAGAACAGGTCAGTGAATTTAAAAATAAAACTTGCCAAGAGGCAGAAAAAAGAAAGAGAAACCAGAGATGACTTCCTTACAAGAGCGAGAGGAATATCATGTGATTTAGAGGAACTAGGGGCAAAAAAAAGGGGGAACATGTTCAATATATATTAGACGGACGTCCCAGAAATCATCAAGAGGTAGCTGTTGCTCTATACGCTAATCCACGTTTAAACTTTGAATCGATGCACGACAGTTTGTTGAGAAACGAATGAAATTGCATTCGATCACATCACGAATTGACACAGTAGCATACAAGGTGAAAGAAGTAAAAAGAATAAATATAAATTCATGTGTGGAAAAGTTGGTCATTACATTAGGGCTTAATGTCCCGACACTAGTACAATTTGTGGCCACCACGTGGCAGCAACAAAATAAGTAAAATTTACTTTACCGATAACGTCTGAACCAATGGTTCAATTTTCGATCTGTAAACGGCGTTTGAAGCCTTTTTAAAATAGAATTTTTTCTACGATGACCTTTTTCCAAAAATCGAACAAAAACGCGAATTTGAAATTAGGTCTCAAACTTCCAAAAATAGATTTAAAAATGTGGTCTTACAGCACGATGTCGACATGCTTCCTGAATCCAACGTCGTGACAATCATGAAAATCGGACGAATAGGAGCGTCGTAAAGTGAAATTTACGAAAACACCTCGCCCC